CGGGGGGCCCCCGCCCTGGTGGGATCCCACCGGGCTTCCCCTGGGTCCTACTGCCCCTGATTCCTGTCATTTTTGACAGGAACCATAGACAGATCAATATTAATTTTCTAAATTTTTTAGGGGCCCCACGGGCCAGATAGAATGGCCTCACAGGCCGGATCCGGCCTGCAGGCTGTATTTTGCCCAGCCCTGGTCTTGCCCCTCTACTCGGGATCAGACTGATAGCCATATTTGGGGGCAGGAAAGAATTTTACCTTGCGGGCAGATTGGTATGGACTATGGGGGTTTTTGCCTCCCTCTGAAGCAGGGGCACGGCCCTCTACCTGGGATCTCTTGAGCATGTATTGACAACATTTTATAAAAGCAGGACATTGGCTGCCATGGTCTCTCTGCTGTTCTTGTGGCAAGGTAGGGCGCTATGTCTTCTGTTGTATAGGACTGACAGCAGTTTTTTTGTAGAGTGTAGATTATGAATTGTATAAAATAGTTTGCATAGGGATGATCCCGCCTCAGGCCAGGAGTTGGACTAGGTGACCTAGAGATTCCTTTTAGCCCTACTTCTCTATGGTTCTAGGTTTGAACCTGCGTGTGTGGTACAAGCCAGCACATACACAGTCTTCACATTGTAATACACTTCTGTTGTTTTAGCAATAATGATAAAAGGCCTAGATTAGAAGGAGCTGTTTTTCTCCAGTGATTTCTACTACAGGGTTGGGCAAAACATAGCCTGTAGGGCAGGGGTGGGCAAAATACGGCCTGCGGGCTGGATCCATTCCGTGAGGCCATTCTATCCAGCCTGCAGTGCCCCTAAAAATTTAGAAAATTAATATTTCTCTGCCCTTGGTTCCTGTCAAAAATGACAGGAACCAAGGGCAGTAGGACCCAGGGGAAGCCTGGTGGGCTCCCACAACAGTAGGGCCCGCCTGGCCGGCCTCCCCAGCTGGAAGCCCCAGCTGGGGCTTCTGGCCTGGGACCACATGGCTGCCCCTGCGCGGGAAGCTTAGGTAAGGAGGCGGGGAGGTCAGGAAAGGACCCCGGGCAGGGAAGGAGTGTGGGGAAAAGCGGAGCACAGGTGGGTAAAAGTGGCCCCTTGCCCGCCCTGTGGCTGGGAAGGGCTGCTTCCCCCCAGCTTTTCCCTGGGCTCCTTCCCAGCACGGGGAAAAACGGCCTCTCGCCCACCACGTGGCCAGCCTCCTGCTCTACAGCCACTCTCAAACCACGTGGAGCTGTCCAGAGCAGGCACAGGC